ATATAAATTTGTAAAATTTTCCTATTCACTCTCTCAATATAGTTCTAAATCTAGATGAAAGAGGGAACATAGTAGAAAAAAGAATTCTCATTGTAGATCAGTCAATGATAACACAGATTCACATTTAAAATTTAAGAATAAGCCAAGAATCATTTATCAAAGAGCTTTTCAAATGCAAAATTTTGTCAATAAGCAGATGTACTTTAGAAGTAACAAAACACATCTATCTAGTAAAAACTGAACATTCTCCAAATCACAAAATTTTAAATATGCCTTTTTCCTTCTTTTCATGCCACCCTGTACTAGCACAACATAATACAGAAGTGTTTAGAAGTACTTATTAAGTCCTGAATAAGGTCAACAATAAAAACAAAATGAAAAACCTCTGAGTATTTAAAAAATGTGTTAGGTAGTCATAGTATAATCAGTTTCTTAAATTTATCTTTATTTATATTTATTAAAAGATTAGCCTGCAGAAATAAAGCTCACCATTCATTTAAAAACTCAAATGCAGGCTTCCCTGGTGGCGCAGTGGTTGAGAGTCCGCCTGCCGATGCAGGGGACGCGCGTTCGTGCCCCGGTCCGGGAAGATCCCACATGCCGCGGAGCGGCTGGGCCCGTGAGCCATGGCCGCTGAGCCTGTGCGTCCGGAGCCTGTGCTCCGCAACGGGAGAGGCCACAAACAGTGAGAGGCCCGCGTACCGCAAAACAAAACAAAACAAAAAACTCAAATGCTGGACATGTTTATTAACACATGAATAAGTCATCTTAGTTGCTCTTTCAAAAAATAATAGACTCCTATTTTTTTTTTTTTAGTAAAACTAAAAACAGCAATGCACCAAAACAGATTTTATGGATAGATACCAAATTCTAAACCTTTTTAAAGCTTTAATGATTTTAATTTTTTAAGTGTCTAAAACAGACTTTTTGTTTTAAAGGAATTCAATGAATAAGTATCCACGGTTATGAATTTTCTTCTTGATAGTAAAAAATAATTAAAAATAATCAGTGATGCCTAAGATTTTTTTAAAACTTGTTTTCAATTAGGTATTCTTTCCAAGTTCTTTTCCAGCACCATGATAGACCTCTTATTTTTTAATTTCATTGATAATTTTATTAAAACAGGAAAAATTCTGCCAAAACCACTTCATTACCCAAAATACAAACTTCAAGATACCTGGACAAGACTCATTTATGCATGTAAAATTATTTTGTATAAATACTATATGTACAACATGGTGAACAAAGTATGGAAAAAGAGAAGCAAGAGCCTTTACCTTACTGCAACTTAAGCCCCTTGTGCTCATTATACTAACCATGCCTAACCTTGAGCATTCCCCCTCACCTTGAGCTTTCACAGAATGCACAAATACTTCCACAATAATGACGTAACATGATGTGGTATAAAGAGTCAAGTGACAGGTTCTTCACCAAAGCCTTGGACTTAATTTCTCTGGTCTCAGTGATTTCTCTTGTAAAATAAAGTAGTTGGACTATATCTCTTCCATTTAAATAGGCTGTTAGGGACTTAATTCAGGCCCTGCTACATTACTTGTAATAGCAAAAACTTGTTAACAACTTTATGTTAATATTAATCAATATTTCAAACAATGGAATACTATATGACCCTTAAAAAAAAGAAAGCTGTAGGTCCATATGTGCTTGTTTGAAAGGATGTCCCAGGTAGCCTACTAAAACAAAAAAGCAAAATGCAAACTGTGTGATAGAATTTGTATGTATTTTAAGACAGATGTATGTACATACGTACAGAAATTTTCTAGGACACCCAAGAAACTTCAAAATGGTTGTTAGTGGAGAACAGAGTGTTAACTTTTTTTTAAACCTCTTATAGTCTTTTATAATATTTCAAAAAAAATTAAATAATGAACGTGTATTATTTTTATGAATCTTTACTACAAGAAAATAAAAGTAAAGGTCTGCTGATCAGGTTTTATAATTAGAAAAGACCTGGGTTCGTATACTGGCTTTGCTGTTTACCATCTGTGTGTTATTAAGGTGTTTAACCTCAATCTCTCCATCTGTAAAAAAGGAGTTAACAGTACTAACCCTCCCACAACTGTTGAGAGGATGAAAGGAAATCATCCATATAAGACATTTAGCGCAGCACATTGTTAAAGGACAACAGCTATTAGTAGCCATTACTAGGCTTATTATAAATATTATTATAAATTCCAGAAATGGAGTGTCTTTTAGAATCAGACAACTGACTAAAGGCTTTGACAATTCATTCAAGGATGACCAATCTCAAAGGCAACCAATTTCCTTAACCCCAAACTCATTCAATCTGACCAGTATAAGAAAGGGCATATCTATTAACTTAAAGTTAAAAAAAAAAAAAGCTATCACAGGTAGCAGGTGAGCTGATGAGGGACATGGTAATCAGAGCACAGTCTAGGTTTTAATTAAGTATCAACTAACTAGAGTAGCCTTCTTCATTACATGTGGATACCTAGCCAGGAGCCAGAATACTCATGACAACTGGGCAGGCGACATTTATCTTTACAAAATGCTGAATATCTAGGAAAAAACTTTTTTTTTTAAAGTAATTCAAGCTTCCAAGAGTCTTTTCTTATTTTAATATACAATTTCTCATTTTCCTAAAAATTTATGGCACTGATGGTTCATTCACAAATTAATTACAAATAACATGTCAATCAAGTGAGAGATATAAAAATGAAATCTCCATAAAAATAAATTCCAAAAAAGCATACTGAATGGATTTTTTGAGTGTAACTTTTTCTCATAAGATTTTAAAAAATTCAGGCTGAATATTATCAAATCAAAATAAGTTGTATATCTGACCTCTATACTAAAAGTGCTCTCCCAAAGTAACACTGTTAACAATATTCAATTTAATTTTTCCAGCAGACCAAGAACACATCCTAAAATTCTATATAACAACTTGAAAGGATGAGGAATTAGGATAGATTAAATCAATATGTAGCACAACTGGTTTGAGTCCATCATATTACAATTTTAACAGGCCTTCCTGGTATTAGAGAACAGTTTCAATACCAATATGACGGATTAAAGTTTGGATTCTCCCAATTACAATGATAAAACAAAAACAAAAGGTCACACACATTTAATCCTTTTCAATATGAAAATGAAATAGGCTCCACTTAGTTCAGCTACTGTAAGTTTGTTAGTATTTAAAGCTTTAGAATAGTAACTATTTCAAATCACAGAAGTAGGTACACTTGAATACATTTGAGAGTTACTGTAGCTTTCCTGAGAGTGACCTGAAGTTCCCACCAAAAAATCCTGGCACCTGAATGACGCTCTGAGCTCTGCATGCCTGCTTCATAGATCACTGCACTGTGCTGAACTGACATTTGGAGATTGTACCGGGCAATTGTATGAAAGCAAAGAGAAAGGATGGAAGAGAGTTTATTTTAAAAAAGAAAACACTTCTTAACACACCCATCACCTATAAGCAAGAGCCATCAGAAACACCATTTTAAAATACACACATTTCTAATTTTCCAACACGCAAACTACAGCGAGCAGATAATGTACCACAGCAGACCTTCCTACCCCTCCTCTCCCCTCACACAGTGCTTTGCCGAGAGCACAAGCCCAAGTAAAATAACCGAGGCAATTTCCTTGTTTACTTAAAGAATTGCAGAAAACATGTTGACTGCTTCTGAGGCTTCTGAAACAAATGAATTTTCAATATTTAAAAGCCTTTTCATGATCATGTTTGAAATAAGAGTAGTAAGGATTCCTTCAGCTAGTAAAAAATATAGTTTTAACTTTATTAAATGGGTTAAATTTTACACCGCAGTTCATTAGCATGCCTTGTTCGCAACCAGAAGGAAAAGGGGAAGGGGGGGGCAGCAAAACACACAAGATGGAAAACATTACTACCTCCTTTGGTGGTTATGAATAATTTTAAATGACCCCAAGATGTATGGGAAGAGTTCATGAATAGAAAGAAAGGGGGTTAACAATCTGAACTGGCCCCTTCCAGATTCATACTGATGTCGGAGAGAAGGAATTTATTTACACTGCAGTGCCTGGCAGCAAACATGGCTGCCCCTGCCCCCTTTAAATCTGAATAGTCTTCACTCCTCACCAAAACCATCAAATTATGGCCATGTCTCTCTCTGTCTTGCTACCATTACACGAACACACCTCCCACTCCCTCAAAGCACCTCAAAGCTGTAAAACCCACACCTCCCCATTTCACAACACCATAACCACTAGCTTCTCCATTATCTAGCCTTGAAAGAAAAGGCACAGAATACACACAAATATAGGAACAAAAGGCTTTCCCTTCCTAACACTTTAACAACCCCCTTCCCCTTCTTTTCCTCCCACTCTGTGACGCTTGGCCCATAGTTCTCATCCTTCTCAACATTCAGTTAATTTCCTTCCCGAGCCCGATCCTGGGTCTCCCAGTTCCTGAGTCTATTTCCTATCTTCCTATTGCATCCCGTCTCAAGCATTTCTCATCCCTTTTTCCTAATCCACCTTTTCCTCCACTTCCATTCCCTCGTGTCTCCCTTGAGGCCCCATCTCTCCACCTAATTCTTTCTCCTTCCCCCAGACTCTCCTAGTTCCCATACTCCACCCCCAAACCTGCCTACTTCTCTGTCCGCCCAGGTCTCTAATCTCCAAACCTAACTCTTCTCCTCTCCCCCTGCCCCTCCCCCGTTCCATCTTTATCCCCGCCCCCATCCCACCTCTACTCCCAATTCCCAGCTTAGCGCCACTCCATCCCTTATCCCAATCCTACCTCTCCTGCCCCACCTCCCAATCCCCTCCATATCCCCCGCCTTGCTCCATCCTTCTAGACTCCCCTCGAGCCCTTTCAGGCCACCCGCTAGTCCTCCCATCCTTGCTAAGGTCTCTCTCCCTACCCGGGTCCCATCCCTAGGTCGCCCCCTCCTCGCCGTCCCCACCTCAGCGCTTCCTTCCAGCGCGCGCGCACACAAACACACACACACACACACACACACACGCATTCACTTTACCTTCACTTTGTTCCATTCTAACCCCCCGGCCGTGTCAGTACGATCACAGGAGACACACGGAGGCCCGGAGTAGGGCTGGGGTGCAGGCAGCCGCCGGGGCCGCGGGAGGAGGAGGCGGAACCAAGCTAGGCCGCATGAAATCCCCGGGCTAGATTTCCCCCGCGCCGGACGCCTCTGCCATGGCGGCCGGCACCGAGGAGGGCCACGGCCAGGCCGGGCCGGGCGCGCAGCAAGAGGAGGAAGACTGCGGGCGGTGGGGTGGGCAGCGGAGCCGGAGGGATGGGGGTCGCCGCGCAGCTGCAGCTGCCAGAGACCAGCCCGTGGCTGGCGGCCGGGCTGGGGCAGCAGGGTCGTTGTCGGGGCTCGACTCGGCCTCGCACGCCTCTCCGCGGCGACCAGTGGACAGTCCCCCTCCGCCTCCACCTCCGTCTTGGTCACCGCCGCCGCCCGCTCCCGCCGCCACAGGCACCGCCGCCGCCGCCGCGCACAAAGCCCCCCCCACCCCGACTCTCGGGGCGCCGCCGCCGCCAAATCCTCAGCCGCTCATTGGCCGCTGGCCGCGGCGCCAGCCGGGAAATGCAGTCCGGGGCTGGGGGCGCAGTGGGCTAAAGGAGGAAGAAGCCAGTCGGCGGGCGGAAAGGAGGGGCTGGGGGAGAACCTGAAACGCCAGCAGCCCGGCGGGGTCTCGACTAGAAGTGAGACCGCAGGCGATAAAGGCAGAGAGACAGAAAGGCACGACGCGGAGGAGAGTGAAAAACAAAACAAAACTAGAAGGCAGGATAGAGGTTGGGCCTGGGAGGCGAAAGTGTGCTCACGCGTGTTCTTTGATGGTTCTAACAGCACATGTCAATCACCAGGTGGGACTGCTCGGGGTGACACTGCGATGCGCTCCCTAGACCTTAGAAATCCCCTACAAACGGGCGCCCGGTTAAGATGAGCGGGAAAGGGGACAGCGATTTCTGTGCCTCCCTGGTTTTCTCCCGCCCGACAGCTGTCACAGAGGAGCTCCCTGTCCCACCGGGCTCTGCGTGTGGCAGCGATTTCCGACCGGAGCCTTGGGGGACAGTCTCGGATGGCAGGCTCCTCGGACGCCTCCCTGGCAGGCCCCGGGCCCCACACGCCTGCTTCCTTCTCGCCCCGCGGGCCCGGGGGCTTGTGGGTAACAGGGGGAAGGAAGGCAGAGCCTTCCGCACCCCAACCCAGAGGGACCTGCGGGCTTCCCGCCCGTCACGTGCCGGGCCCTGCGCTGCTCGCGGCTAGACCTGCGCTTTGAGGGATGAGGGCGTTTGTCCCAGACAGAGCTCACGTACGCAAGAATGAGAGGACGAAGCGGGAGTCAAGATTCTCTGTAACCCTATATCCCTTCCCATCCTAGGAAATTTATGTGAAACAATAGAAGGTACCAGGTACGTGACACAGTAAACTCGTCTTGCAGGAGTGGGTCGATTTGGTGATATTTCCAGGGGCCTGGTGATAATGACTTAGAACGGCGTAGCACAGACATGAAAGTACAAAGGAAACACAGGCAGCGACCAGATGAGGAAACCAATACTCCGTTCTGAGAATAATAAAGTCATATCACTAGACCTTAGACTCTCCATCGACGTTACAGTGCTGTATCTATTTGGTACCTTTACAGGCAATCCCTGCTACCTTTATCTTTAAATACCACTTAAACAGGAAATTAAAAGATTCCTACAGACCAATTATTTTCATGATTTCTAATTTTGCATTCGTTTAAAACACACACACACACACACACACACACACACACACACACACAACCCTGTTAATAATGCTAAGGATGATATTCAGAATTAAGCATTCCCATTACTGTTAATCATTAACTATTTCTAAATCTATGCTTATGTGGTTCCTATGCTTGTGGTACCAAAAGTTAAAGGAATCAACAAAAGCACATTTTTGTTTTAAATGTCTTCTCCAAAGGGGGCCACACCACCTGAGCTTATTTCAAATGTTTGATTCTATCTCCTGGAAAGAGAGGTTAAATTGCTCTTTTTATTTTTTTTCCTTTCCTATGATCCTTTCTATCTTCATCCTTCTTTCCCACCTTCCTGTATTGATAAGAGTTTAAAATTAAACTTCTGTGAAGTAAATGCATAGTCTCTTCCTGCATAACATACACATTGTTAATAATATTTGATTTGGAGCCATACTTAGGGAAATGGCCATTAAAATGATAATTTACATTTTTAGCATTTAACATCTTATGAGGTTCAGAGCATGTTTTCTATTCTTCATAGAAAGTGAGCAAACAGTTCATTAAGAAAGCAATCTGGGACTTCCCTGATGGTGCAGTGGTTAAGAATCTGCCTGCCAATGCAGGGGACACAGGTTTGAGCCCTGGCCAGGGAAGATCCCACATGCCATGGAGCAACTAAGCCCATGTGCCACAACTACTGAGCCTGGGCTTTAGAGCCCGTGAGCCACAACTACTGAAGCCTGCGCGCCTAGAGCCCATGCTCTGCCACAAGAGAAGCCACCGCGATGAGAAGCCCATACATCACAACGAAGAGTAGCCCCTGCTCGTCACAACTAGAGAAAGCCTGTGCACAGAAATAAGACCCAAAGCAGCCAAAAATAAATTTAAGAAAAGAAGATTTTTAATTTTTTCTAAAAAGAAAGCAATCTAACACAATTCTCAGGGCCAAGATTAGGGAGAAAAAAACATTTTTGTTTGTCTTCTGAAGATTATATTAAGAAACTCATTACATGATAAATCACTTATCCTGAAAGTCAAAAAAATCACCAGGCCTGATAAGAGAAGGCAGACATTGTTTTGAACCAATGGATTTCAATAAGAAAGATTCTTAAACCTTCCCTTTTTAAAATGGGATTGCTGACATATGGCCATGGTAGAAAATCTAGCTCATCTTTCAAATACTGGGCTTGGAATCGTTCATCTGGTTTATGAATACTTAATGATTTTCACTGTGCCTGGTTGTAAATGAATACAATGCATGAATAAGAATATTTCCCGGCATAAAATATCTCCCAGGGAACTGAGAAGAATATTTTTGCATCTTTTATGATCTTTTCCAGAAAAGTACATGTACATGATAGTGCAGTGATTAATTTATGAAATTAATATGAAAATTATACCTACCTAGCCTTTTAGAGTTCAAAATTTACCATCGGGAATTTTCAGGGAAGGAAAGGTAAAGAGACTTTATAAAGCTTTGTAGATTTTGTTAACTCTCGTAAACATAGAACGTGAAGTGAAGCCTTTCGGTCTAAAGTTGGGTATCAGACACGCACAAAGGGCCCTCTAGTGGCCAAACTGAAAAGTTTTGCCTATGTAACAGTGGATCCATTTGGTTATTAGCTAAAAAATGCTTTGTGGATTAAAAGCAGTCTACATTTTTTTAAAAAATGAAATTTTATATACCGCCATCTTTTATTCTTTCAAATGTGCAGCCCAGATGAGTAAGGTCTGTGGTCAGTCACATGTTAAGAGAAGTATTCTCCGTGTGAAAGCAATTCCTTCCTGTCATGTTAAAGTAGAGCCACCAAAATTTTGTTTTCCTTCTAGAGCCAGATAAAATGGATGGGTAGAGATAACTGGGGATAGAGTACATTTTTAGATCTTTCACTTTCCCAAGATGGCTCAGTTCCCCATCCTAGGAACTGAAGTGCCCCCAAACCTGCAGTGCCAATGTCATTGCACAGCTACTATAATATACATTTTAAATGTTATTTGAGAAACACAAACTACTGAACATAACCAATATCTGTTAAGAGAACATTTATAAAGCAATTTTATTTAGTGGAATTCAGATTTCCATATGAAGATTTCATAGCATTCCAGTTTTTGGCCCCGGATATAGGAGAGGGGGTGTTTTCCTCACCATTCCCGCCCTTTCTGCCACTCCCTCGCCTCACTGCTTTCCCCGCCCGCAGTTGCGGAGTTGGAAGGTGGGGGAATATATCAGAGTGATGTAATTGGTGACTCCCAGATAGTCACCATGGCGACTATCAGGCATATTACGCGACTGGTAGGGTAACAGCTTCTTTAATCCAGCTTCAAGGAAGGGTTTTTTTTTGGGGGGGGGGTGAATCCACAGCCTACAGAGTGTGAACAGGCAGAAAAACGTCAGTATTGAGACCCCCAGCATAAACACTCCTTAAACTAAACCCAGTAGAGAAGTCATTTCGCCGGTGAGAACCAGACCTTGCGGCCCCCTGGGCTGCCATCGCGAGGGACGCCTTAGCGCCCCAGAATCTGAGAGCTCATTGGTGGGTGGTGTCGTCACTCAGAGTGACGTAATGGCTGAGGAAAGAGGTGGAGCCATAGAGAGTTGGCTTCTGGCCCTTCTAGCTGGGGGAGCTGTGGGAGGAGGGGAATTGGGAAGGCGCTCAGGACTGAGGCAGCAGTTCCGGGGAGTCTGCCGTAGGAAGTAGGGGTGGGCGGGCCAAGTCCTCAGGCTGTTACTTGGTGGACCGCGCCTGCTTGTTTTCCTCCGGAGCCCGCTCCCTCCGCATCCTGCTCCTCCCATCAGCGCCCAGATTTCCAGACAGCTTCGAGGCCCCACCCCGCGCTCTCCTCAGCCCCTGACCTCAGCCCCCCGCCCGCACCCCAACTTTAGGGCTCAGCCTCCATCCCCCCTCTTTCCATGCTTGGCTTCCTCATTTCTTTTCCGTACCCTGTGTCCCGATTCTTCTCGCCTTCCTTCCATAAACTTGGATCGCCAAGGCTCTTGGTCCTCGTGCCTGCAACACGCCCGCTCCAAAAAAACCCCAAAGACCCCGCCCCCCGCCCCGGGACCCCAGCACAGCAAACACAGCCCAGCAACACACAACGCGCACAAAAGTCACCGGCTGGGGAGGCAGAGAGCGCGTTTTGCCCCCGTGACGTCGAGAATCTGAGGCAAGGGTAACGGGGGGAGCCTGGGGCCCAGGCGAGCGGGCCTGGCGGCGCATAAGCGCAGGCGGGG